TACCCCAAGCCCAATCCAAACAAAATCAACTCTTTTCCTACAATTTATGTGAGGCTTTCAGAAAGAGGATGTTTTTAAAAAGGGATGTACTAAAATATAACAACCCCAACAATATCCTCTAAGGTGCCACAACCCAAAAGGAGTGTAAGTAGCTCTGGGTTTTAATAGCACTTTGAATCTTCCTCTTAGTGCCCTCCTGGGAGCACAGCTTCTCTGCCAGTTTACCAGCTCCCTGTGGGCATGAACCAGGTCCTGTTCATCCTTTCTGCAAAAATTTCTCTGACCCTATAAACCTAGTCAAAAGCCCATGGCTAGGAGACTCATAGCCCCTGGTGAGGAAGCTACTGCCGTTGCTTTGTGAAATAAACAAGATGTTTTCTCACATCACCTCCTAGGTAACTATGTAACACTCGGGTATCACTTTGACCAGAGAAACTTTTTTGCAGTGTTCAGCCCTGACTACAGAAACTCAGAGCAAACCAGAGTACTGAAAATAAACGACTACTGGATGCCCAGTCATAAATGGGAAAATATATGCCCCCCTCCAAGGCTTAAGGAACATCACAGAAGAGAGGATGGAAAGAATTTAAGAGACAGAAGAAAGGTGGGGAGATGTGTGGAATGTTGACTTCCAGGCATGCCATGGCTGTTGCACTCCTGAAATCACAGAAGCTGTGGTTACCTGCACAAGACCAGGCCTGTCCACACCCAGTCATGGAAACCACACTCACCACCACCTCACCCCTCACTCCCACCTTACACGCTGATACACAGTTTGTGGATGGAAAAAGGAGAGACATTTTCTTCAGTAATGGGGTCACGCACGCACGCACGCACGCCCTGAAAACAGAGAGGGAATAGCAGAGGATGAGTGAATAGGAGGGTGACATCCAGGGTAGAGAGCAGTGAATATGAGTGAAAAATATTATGTACATGCATAAAAGTGTCATAATAGAACCACTGTTGCTGGGTGGTGGTGGATCACGCCTTTAATCCTAGCACTAGAAGGCAGAGGCAGGCGGATCTCTGTGAGTTAGAGACCAACTTGCTCTGGTCTACAGAGCAAGTTCCAGGACAGCCTCCAAATCCACACAGAAACCTGTCTCAAAAAACCAAAAAAGAAAATTAAAATAATAATAAAAATAAAATAAAATTAAAAAACAACAACACTGTTGTGACCAGGCATGCCTTTAATCCCAGCACTCAAGAGGCAGAAGCAGAAGCAGGCAGATCTCTGTGAGTTCAAGAACAGCCTGGTCTACATGGTGAGTTCCAGGAGAGCCAGTGTTATATAGAGAAATCCTGTCTCAAAAACAAAAACAAACAGAGCAAAACAAAAAATACTGTTATGTATAGTTAGTTTATGCTACCAAAACATTAAGAAATTGTTTCCTACCAATTTTAAATAAACAAGGCATCAATAGGTCATATTACATAATAGGTATCTGTTCATTAAACATTTCAAAGCTTCATGATATCTGAATTGAGACTGTTGGGCTATTGAGAGGCAAAGTTTCTTAACCTTTATGGAGAGTCTGACTATGCTGTGACGATTGGGGATGCACCTTAGTGGTAGAACACTTGCCTACCATACTTAAGGCCCTAGCTTTGATACATACCAACAGTTCAGATAAACTACGAACTCAGCTGGCCATGGTGTCTAGGGTCTGTAATTCCAACTCGCAGAAAAATTTGCATACGAAAATCCTTTTACATATAATTTTCAGGATTTATCATGCTTAGACAGATGAAGGTAATTTACCCAAAGTCAAAGCTTAAATGTGGCAGAACTGAACCTGAACATGTTTCCTGTGGAGAGCCAGCCTGACATAGGTCTCAAGGGTAAATGTTCTTCTTATGAAATTCTTTGGTGGAAAGTTCAGAGCTGTGAGGTCAAAGTTGTGGTTTGCACTCTGCCTCAGAGAAGCAATTGCAGGTATATAGTTGTATGGGAGAATTAAAATAAACCAAAGAAGCAAAAGCTATGAAGATTCCCTAGCTAGACCAATAAAATCTTCTCAATTGCACTGCCTACAGGAAGCCACAGACTGAAGACTCAAAGCCTCCTCACCTGCAGAGAAATTTAACCACCACAGAAGCTATCAAGCATCAGGGCCAGAGAAACAGGTGAAATGACTGGTGTTTGGTAATACCTCCTAGTCATCACGTGAAACAACCCAAGATTCAAATATATATTTACATCTGCAAATACTCTAAAACCCAGCTATTAGCTAAAAATAGCAATCCATCTATTACTTTGCCACACACCATTCATTCAATATTATAAAGCTTTTATTTTAATTAACTAAAGTATTTTATTAAAACAATTAGTTGTTTTAAGTATTTGATTATTTTAATTAAAATAATTATGTAGGATTGTTTCTATTTTAACTTTTAATTATTTTAATTATGCACATGTGCATGCATACATGAATGTAAGTACCTTTAGAGACCTCAGGTATATTCCCCAGTCGCTAGAGTTCTAAGCAATTATGAGCCACATGATATGGGTTTTGGGAACCAAACTTGGGCACTCTGTAAGAGTAGTACCCTCCCACACCTGGCCAGGTTTTAGAGATAGGGTTTTTCTGTGTATCCCTGGCTGTCCTGGGACTCACTCTGCAGACCAGGCTGGTCTTGACCTCACAGAGATCACCTGCCCATGCTTCCTAAGTGCTGGGGTTAAAGACATGCCACCACCACCTGGCTGCATTACATGCTCTTTTGTTTTGTTTTTTGTTTCTAATACATGCTCTTAACTGTTGAGAAATCTCTCCAGCACCTCAACTAATGCCAACCTATAATTTCCACTCTGAAGTCTATGCTGAACTAAGTACTAAGAAGATTTTTATCCACAAAATATCATAAGTGATAAGAACCAGGCAATTGGTGCTTTACTAGGACCGAGGAGAAGCTCATGAGCTGGCAGAACCATCTTCAGTCCACGTGGTTCAAAACTAAAACACCCGAGACAGCCAAGGCGGCTCTATATCCTTACAGCTCTACTGTGGCCCACGCATGTCCCATGAGTCTCACATCCTGCTCTCTGGGGACTTGCCTTGCCTCTTACCTCTAGCACTTTCACCAAGTGTTTGTATCTGCCAATTCCATGAGTGGGCTTTGTCTTGTAGTGCTGCCTGGGCCTCAGCAGAATACCACCTAAGAGAAACAAGACAAATCCAGAGACAGCAGAGGTAGTTCTTGGTTATTCCCAGTTTTCCCTTTCTTTCTCTCCTTTTAGCTCCTGAAATATCTTCACCATCTCCTTTCCCCCCACTACTCAGTTTTCTTTGGGAAATTCTTTCCTGAAAAAAGTCAATGATGGTCAAGGGGACAAAATATATTTTAATGATTTCTTCTTGTTCCTCAACAAGCAACATTCTTTTGGTTGGTTTTGTTATTGTTGGTTTTTATTTTCTTTAGAGCAATTGCTCAGCAGGTAAGGATGCTGTTGCCAAGCCTGATGACTTAGTTCCAACTCTAGGACCCACATGGTAGAAAGAATGACTCATGAGAGCTGTCTTCTGTCCCCAGTATGTATGCACACCACAGACCACAAGTCCTCCATACATACACACACAGCACAGACCATAATCCTTCATACATGCACACACCACAGACCACAAGTCCTCCATACATGCACACATACCTCAGACCATAAATTAATAAAAGTTATTTTTAAGAAAGGGTCTCACTTTGTAGTTCCAGGCTGGAACTCACTCTGTAGCCTAAGCTAGAACTCACTATATGGCCCAAGCTGGCCTGAAACTCACAGCACTCTTGCTAGCTCAGCATTGAAAGTGCTGAGATCATAGGTATAAGCCACCATGCCCAGGCCTTTTTAGGTTTTCTTATGGAGAGAAGGAAGCAGGCATAAAAATAGAAAAAAAATTAGGAATTTCTATAAACTCTTTTTTTATTTATTTTTTCTCCATTTTTTAATTTGAATTAGAAACAAGATTGTTTTACATGTCAATCCCAATTCCCTCTTCCTCCCCTCCTCCCCTGCCCCACTACCCAACTAACACCCTACCTATCCCATACCCTTTCTGCTCCCCAGGGAGGGTGAGGCCAACCTAAGGGGTCTTCATAGTCTGTCATATCCTTTGGGATAGGGCCTAGGCCCACCCCGGTGTGTCTAGGCTCAGGGAGTATCCCTCTATGTGGAATGGGCACCCAAAGTACATTCCTATGCTAGGGATAAGTACTGATCTACTACAAGAGGCCCCATAGATTCCGAGGTCTCCTCACTGACACCCAGGTTCCTGGGGTCTGGATCAGTACCATGCTAGTTTCCCAGCTTGGTCTGGGGACCAAGAGCTCTCCCTTGTTCAGGTCAGCTGTTTCTGTGGGTTTCCCCAGCCTAGTCTGGACCCCTTTGCTCATCATTCCTCCTTCTCTGCAACTGGATTCCAATTTAGTTCAGTGTTTAGCTGTGGGTGTCTGCTTCTACTTCCATCAGCTGCTGGATGAAGGCTATAGGATGGCATATAAGTTAGTCATCAATCTCATTATCAGGAGAGAACATTTAAGGTAGCTGCTTCTCTGATGCTTAGATTGTTAGTCGGTGTCATCTTTGTAGATCTCCAGACATTTCCCTAGTGCCTGATTTCTCTTTAAATCTATAATGTCTCCCTCTATTTTGGTATCTTTTATCGTGTTTTCCTCTATTCTTCCTCCAACTCAACCTTCCTGCTCCCTCATTTCCTCCTCACCCCTTCTCTTCTCCCCTTCTTATTCTGGAAAGGAAGAAGTCAAGCTTTCACTATTTGCAGATGATACGATAGTCTACATAAGTGACCCGAAAAATTCTACCAGGGAACTCCTAAAACTGATTAACACCACCGGGCATTGGTGGTGCACGCCTTTAATCCCAGCACTCGGGAGGCAG